ATCTTCACCCAGATCCTCTTGTATCTCTGATTCATTAACACTGGTTGTTCCTTTTTTTAAGTTTTTATTTAAATTCCAGTTAGTTAACATACAGTTAATTTTCAGTAAGAATTCTTTTTTTAAGTGTTGTACTCTAATATCCATATTAGTTTAGTTTAAAACTCCTAATTATATGTGGTAGATATCTCCACCTTACAGATAAGGAAACTGAGACAAGTTTAAATAATTTGTCCAAGGTTCATAGCTACTAATTATTCCCATAGTTCATGGCAACAAAAGTATATAACTCTGAAAGTTTTCTATATGACTCCACCTGTATATTTTAAAGAATTTCTGCATATATTTTCTTCTTAGCTAGGTTGTTACATAAATATTTTCTTTTTGCTGAAAGTAGAAAAGCAGAAAGTCCCTACTAGTGTTTTTTCTCTTGTCTGGCCCTCAGACAATTGTCTACACCATAAAGTCTAGGGATAGTAAAGGTAAGGCTCCATATAGTTTATACAGGCAAGAGTTAGGAATACTGCATGCATTTTCATCCCAGAAAATGTAAGATCCTATGACGACGCCTGGTGGCGCTGCAGGATAAGAAGGTACAAACCAGCCCTGCAGCTGCGACTCCATAAACAGGCAAAACTAAGCGGCAGAACCTGGAAGCCCACGGGAAGCTTGGATGCCACGGGAGGGAGGACTGAAAGGACTGGGTCCTCTAATAGGACCACTTACTGGAATATTTCTGAGGTATCTTGGGAAAGAGCCACAAGTCTTGGATTCTGAAGTCTTTACCGTTCAGCAGAACCACCCTCAAGGGAGGCTTTACCAGACAAGAACAATGGAGACCAGCGGGAAGCTCATTTGCAGACAAAGGCAAGTCCTTTTATTCATTCTCCTCTTGGGTTTATCTCAGGCAGGCTTGGACCCTAGGCGCTATTCTGTAGTGGAGGAAACTGAGGGGCATGCATTTGTAACCAATTTAGTAAAGGAGCTGGGTCTGGGTCAGAGGGAACTCTCCAAGCGGGGAGCAAGGGTCATTTCCAAAGGGAACAAACTACATTTGCAGCTTGATCAGGAAACTGGAGATCTGTTGCTAAATGAAAAACTGGACCGGGAGGAATTGTGCGGCCACATGGACCCCTGTGTGCTGCGTTTCCAGGTGTTGCTAGAAAATCCCTTAGAGTTTTTTCAAGCTGAGTTACAGGTAATAGACATAAATGACCATTCCCCAGTATTCATAGACAGAGATATGTTGTTAAAAATATCAGAGAGCAGTCCACCTGGAATTACATTTCCACTGAAGAACGCTCAGGATATGGACGTGGGCCGAAATAATATTGAGAACTATGTAATTAGCCCCAATTCCTACTTTCGGGTCCTTACCCGCAAACGCAGTGATGGCAGTAAATATCCTGAATTGGTGCTGGACAAAGCCCTAGATCGGGAGCAGGAACCTGAGCTCAGGTTAACCCTTACAGCTCAGGATGGCGGCTCTCCACCCAGGTCTGGCATTGCTCAGATCTACATCGAAGTCGTGGACATCAACGATAACGCCCCCGAATTTGAGCAGCCTCTATATAGGGTGCAGATTCCTGAGGACAGTCCCATTGGCTTCCTGATTGTCACAGTCTCTGCCACCGATGTAGACACAGGAGTCAATGGAGAGATTTCCTATTCACTTTTCCAGGCTTCTGAAGAGATTTGCAAAACCTTTGAGGTCCACCACAAGACAGGAAAAATTCGACTGAAAAAACAACTTGATTTCGAAAGAATACAGTTCTATGAGGTCAATATTGAGGCCAGAGATGCTGGCAGCCTTTCCGGAAAATGCACCGTTCTGACTCAAGTCATGGATGTGAACGACAATGCCCCGGAAGTCACCGTGTCTGCATTTACTAGACATATACCTGAGAACTCGCCTGAGGCTGTGGTTGCAGTTCTCAGTGTTTCAGACCTTGATTCAGAAGAAAACGGGAAAATAAATTGCTCCATACAAAATGATCTACCCTTTCTTCTGAAATCTTCCTTGGAAAATTTTTACACCCTAGTAACAGAGAGACCACTGGATAGAGAGAGCCAGGCCGAGTACAACATCACCATCACCGTCACCGATCTGGGGACCCCCAGGCTGAAAACCCAGCACAACCTAACGGTGACGGTGTCCGACGTCAACGACAACGCCCCGGCCTTCAGCCAAGCCGCCTACAC